CTGCCTGAACTTCTAGCAATTATCCCTACTCTGGTGTCGAAGAAGATGCCTACCTTCCAGGCAAACATACAACACGAGATAAAAATTGTATTTACGACTCATCAAATTCGGTAAATTTTCGAAACGAAACTTCTTTGCGCGTAGAAATAAATTCTGGAACAACGCTGATGAGAAATGGTAACAACAATGAAATATTACATTTAATGACCATTTCGTATTAATTTTCAAAGCATGGCACTAGCGGCGATGGAACAATATATACACAAAAATACGTGGTTACAGGGTGGTATCTCGTAAACACGATAATATACCTTCGGGTTCCATAAAAATGGGCGATTAATAGATAGAAACGTTGGATTCACAGTCAGCGAAGGTAATATAACGACATTTGTCAGGAGGCACTGAGGAACACCACGAAAAACCTTTCAGGATAACCGGTCTCTGGGATGAGATTTGAACCCGGGACCTCCCGAGTACGAAGCAAGGGTGCTAATCACGACGTTCGGTAATATGATGCTGAGGATTTAGTACAGCGAGTGAGTTATGAGCGTCAGTAGTGATTGTTATAACACACAATGTAAAAGTATGAAAATAACCTCAAAAGTTATTAAGTTCAACGTTAATGCTGGATTTTGTATGGTGAAGAGAACATTACGTAAGGTCAAAGTAGCTTTTTAATGTCGTCAGAATTGAACAAAGAACAAGTGAAAATAATTTGAGATTTACGTCTGAACAAATACATCTGACCCACACTTTGGCACTGAACTGAAAGTTAAGAACCTTTCGCACCTGTCACAGTTCTCAACTCATACTTTTTCTTTCTGGTATACAAAAAGAGTTAAAAAATCCGGATGTCAGACGTCATTATACAACTCGTGTTCAGGTAGAGTGAACACAAGGACGCAGCTGATGCTCAAGGAATGGTGGTCTGGAACGGGTTTTGGAACCTATGGAACAAGAGGCAAATTCCAGATAATTGCATTTGGAAAATATACACATTAACCTACAACCACACATATATTAATTAAGCCACTTATACAGGGTGGGTGGGAAGTAAGTAGGCATTAAATAATCGCTATACATTGGAAATATAGAGGTTATAACCATTTCTCAATGCCTACTTACTTCCCACCCACCCTGTACATTCCTTACGTAAAAATTGCAGACCCACAATTCAATGTTAATGTTATACAGAAGATTGAAAATTCACATAACCCATGTTAAAATATTTTCTAAACTTAGTTCTCTCAGAGAAATCATTATTTTAAATTCATATAAATTAATTATTAAATTACTTAAAGCACAGATAAAAATTTTCGTCTCAAAACAACTATTTTCACTATTACAAACGAAACGGAACTAGTCACATGTTTCTAATACAACTTCTAAGATCCTGTCAATGTAATCCTTAATAAGTAGTCGTCAAAACATGTCGATAAAAAATACGCCATGGAGAAAAATTATAATGTAATCGGTGATTACACAATGGGATCTTTGAACACATAAGATGGATTTATTTCACGCAACTGATTATTTCCTGGATTAATGTAAGCAGCTTGATATAAATGTTCTCTTCTACGTCACAATACTATTCTTCCGGTTTCCTGTCGGCGCCCGCTCACTCCTACCATGTCCGCAAACGCTTAAAAATTAACTGTCAACTTCACATTCATTTTATAACTCCTTACTCGCTGTCTCCCTCGTTATTGGGCTGACTTTATAAAAAAAACTTCAGCAGAGTAAATTCCAGAATACGTCACAAGCGGTCACTATATTTTCCCAGTACTCTCCATTCCTCCACCTTCAGCCATTGCCTTAAGTTATTTGGGGGGAGGGGTGTTTATGACGTAATTCGGACATTGCTAGAAGCTTCCAGCACTGTAGGTGACGTAATACAGGCCCGACTGGCAAGGCGGACTCGCGGCAATATTAGGCAGCAGATACATAAGATTCCGCTTAATTGGGCTAAAGTGTTCTAGTCCCGATGTGTCCCAATTAACGGGAATCCACTAAATATTTGACTTTTAATAATAATAATAATAAAAGCGAGTAATTTTCAAAATCTCTCCACAATGAATTTGATCTTAAAAGCGATGAAGGAACATTAAACTTGAAACATTACAAAAAAGAACTACTCCAGAAATAAATCTCAATTCAAGTCCTGGTAACTATACTTATAATAGTTACTGTGTCCATAACAGATTTAAATAATGACTAACTTACAAAATATAAATGTATAAAAATAGGCCCACACAATCTTGTTTAATACGTTCAATAACATTTCTGCGAAACAAACTACCAACCAAGAACAGGTTCTGCTCAGTGTCACAAAAGTTTGTAATTTAACTTGTAATAATACGTGAGAAACTATAAAGGAGTAAAACATATTAGGTGTTTAAATAAGGCCATGAGTAACAAACTTACACCAACACCCTGTATCTTAATTTCACTGTCTAATAAAATTATAAGAAGTATCTCACAGCAATAGATTTCAGATTCAAGCTACACAGTTACTTCGCATTAGAGAAGAACGTGTAACAATGTCAGAAGATTCAAATTTAAAATGAGTTGTGCAGGTGGTACAAAACTTGAAGATTTGGCAGTCTGCCTAGAGTGACTGTATGTAAACAAAACAAGTGGCAAAAGAGAGTGTGACAACGTGCTTAGATTTTCGTTTGTCCCAGCACATACTGGGGCCCTACTCTCTTACGCGTGTTGCTAATACATGTTCAACGTCAAGTTCAATGCGAACAAATGAACAATGACAAAAGCCATGGCACGCAAACTGCCTAACACTGTAACCACTCGTACATCGGAAATGTTGTAATTATTTTGTAAGGAATGATTACACATTCCAACACACTCCTTGATTATAACAAAATTAAAACGAACAAGAAAACTTTACCCTAAATCTCCAAAACGATATGAGAAAACAATACAAATAAACAATTACCGACATTTATAAACTGTTGAAAACCTGTTGTCTTGGCCAAATTCGGAGAATATTTGGCATTTTTCTTCTTAATACGTTCCGATCTGAAATTATCAATGACATCTGCGATGACAAAAGCTACCAAGTGAAAAATGCCACAAAACCACTTAACTACGCCACGAACGTTGCATTATAGAAAGCAAATTTAATGTCCAATTCCAACCACACATATATACCACCTTCATTGTTTACTTTGACGCAAGCACAATACCCACTTACAAGCTACATAACAGCACAATGAGTTTAACACGGTTCATAAAACGAATTTCTTTTAAAACCATTTCATCACATAAGACAATACTGAAACATCTACTCCGACTGCCAACCACTCATCACCCATTCCAATGTACGCAACTGATTAGTAGACGGAAAACATAACCATGCATGGTGCAGGCAGAATATCAAATATTTCGTAAAACAGAAGATAATTAAATGAAACTCTTAACGTACCTTGATATGGAGTACCGTATAAATGCTGCCAATCACCAACTGCTGATTAACACTAATAAATTCCACAACCACAGCGTAATAAACAAACAATAATGAAATAACCGGACAATCTTCGAAGACCACACAATACGTCAGCGTCTGTTTGTGGCCTTGCACAAGTCTGCCCGCCTGTGAGGTGTCGCCCGGACGAACGCACGCGGGGAGATAGCCTCGCAAAGGGATGCACATAATATTACACGATCAATAACTCACGAGGTTTTCAGAACACGTCCAAGAAAATAGTTCCATATATCCATTTTAACATAATTATAACACATACATTGTCCTTACTCTAACAATGTTTACTTAAAATTAATAGATACTATGCTCTCTCTGTATGACACTTTGCAAATTATATTGTAAATATTCAAAATTCCATAATATAAAACTCCCGCCATATGACATAAGAAAAGCGTACTGCACTGAAATAAGAAAAGTTAGTCATCATAACCTGTTTTGCAGAATAATTATATTTTTTAGCATCCCACAGAATTAAATACTTAGCTGCAGAAACCAACTAAGTATGGATTAAATTCTACATATTATGTAATCGCTCTGTTCTATCAAATGGTGAATACAGTCTGTAAGGAGGCGTTATTCAGTTGGTTTTAACCCTAATCTTCCAAATTCCACAATGATTTAAATTAAAAAGAATTTGTAGCAACTTTTTCGGGTGTCATTTGCCGAGATAATCATGGCTCCCATTGTATTAGTAATTACATATCTCTTAGGGACTGCATTAGCAACAGGTACCATAAGAGCTACTTTCACCTTTCCAGAATTCCAGTACAAAGAAACCAGCAAAAATGTAAGTTAAAATTATTCTGAAATGGTACTATAACTCAAACTCATACTCTTCATATGCACCAGAATCTTTAAGGTTTTAAACATATCTTTGCAGGAGATGGCATTCCGAGAATTTGAGTCAGCATGTAAGCAAAGTCCTACATGTGCTCAAATGAGTGGAATAACAAGAGTCAGATGTGTGCGAGAGTGCATATCACCTTCCTGTTACCAAGACATCTACCAGTCCGATCAGGTAAGCATTCTGTGTTTTATCACACAAATAATGGTACCATTGTAAGTAGTAAACGGAGTGTTTTGCTCGATCAAAAAAGCTTCCATATCCAAACACATTTCTTTCAACTTTGATTTAAGAAGAAAATATAAAAATCCATCATACAAGCAGAGGATATGTTTATTAGCTGAGTAATTATGACCTGTTCAAGGAAGATCCGTACGTTATATAGGATTTGAGGTTTTCATAATGGCGAGTCTGAAGATTGCCGTCTTCTGGGTTGTTGCACCGTGTAGTCTGGTAGATTACTGACGTTTCAGAGGTCCTTGCTGCCTCCATCATCAGGGTGATGATGGAGGCAGCAAGGATTTCTGAAACATCTACCAGACTACATGACACAATGACCCAGAAGACAGTAATCTCCATGTCTGTTATAATTAAAATATGAATCCGTAACATAAGTAATAGGCCGTAACTTTGTATCGTTTACTTGCGAATACATACCTGGAATATTACACCACTAATCTTGGGAGTATCATAAATGATTTCCTATCGTTCAGCAAGTTTATTTTTTATTACCTTATTTATTATGAGAAATCTAGATATAAATTAGTGACTTGCATATCTTTTCATAACAAATTCATGGTTGCTCTTACCAACACTTCCCTTTAAAAAACATAACATACTTTAATATTTTTTACCTTTGTAAATAACAAATCCAACAAAAAACATCTGTCACCTATAAACTCCCAGCATTCCATATATCAGTATTTATATCACTTGAAGCACAGAAAATATGAGCCCAACTCCCAGGCTTTCATGTTACAGGGCTTCTGATGTCAGGTTACCAAAGAACTAGTTCTCCCTTCATATTGTTTGTGTTAGAACCAAATGACTTACAATTAGATCATTTATTTCCAGCTGGAAGAGGGAGAAATAGATGTCCGCTTGAATTCCTTCAAAGGATGTTTCATTCAGAGGGCCGGTCGGCAGCGTCCGTGACGTCAGACCCTGCTTCAGTTTGCTAATATTTTCTGGTAGACTCAGGTTTGAGAAGAAAACTGGTGGAGCACTGTAGCACAATTTATATTGTGATACATTTCAAACTTAAACATTATTTTATATTTCTCTTCATGCACATTTAAGACATAATTTCCCCTGTATAAAAGTAGCAGGAGCGTTCATCATGCACTACAGCAGAACTAAACTGATATAACAAGAACTGGTAAAACAAACAACACACATTTATTAAACTACTGAAGTCCCTTTTATATTTTCTAACAAACTATTCAGTAAATACTGATATTAAACAATCAAGGTACCAATATAATCCCTTCCTAAGCTCTGTATTTACATTTACTTTATTGGATATGTTTCTGTTTTGTAGTAATTATGAATCAGTAATTAGACATTGATTCATAAAAAGCATTCAAAAACAAACTGAATTACAATCAGTTTAAAGCGAAGGATTTAAACGAGAACAACGCATTGAAAGAAGAGCAAACTGCTGTAACAAGAACTCTATTTAATATTCAAAACAGCAACATAAAGCTCGATAACATGTAGTAATTAAATTGAACAATATGGATGACCAAGTAAAACAACTTGTAAAATTTATACTATAATATAAATATTCATATAGTCCAAAGATTCAGTGTCAGACATTTACTTAAAGATACAGTATCTTTACAAAAATTTAGCTTGAATGCTGTTCTCGGCATGTTATAAACCATATAAGGGTTCCTGAGAATTTACTCCAGATTTTTAAATATTAAGGACAGTTCAGAATATCTTTTCTTGTATCTTATCTGTTGATACAACACAAATAATTTGACACTTAGAATCCTAATCTTAGAGAAAATATTACATAAAATGTACTGTAGCTTATTCTACTTGATATCATATTACTGTATCATACAAGATCGTCTTCTCATGAGCATGAAGTAGTGACCACTGATTTTGGATTTTTAAGGTTATGACTTTAAAAATAAAATACTTTAAAAAAAGGGTTAACCTATAGACTTGTAGCTTCCAGTACAGAGAATACTGAGCAGATTTAATGTTTAAAGCTATGACCATAAAATGTTCATCACTAATATTTTTGGCTGGCCAAGATGAATCACATATGAATTGGTTACATATCTGAGATAACTTTTATTTTACTTGACTTATCTTTCTGGTAACTCGACAACATAAATGAATTGTAAGAACATGTAACTACCGTAAGAAATTAAATTTTTAGAACTGTAAAACTTATTGAATTTGGGAATGGTACATTAAATACTATTACATGTATTTATTTAATAGTTCTGCATATTTCTTAGTAACCCCATATTAATTACCATATTTACTGGCATACGTTTCATATATCTTGATAAAACATGGAAAGATTTTACACAAATGATCTGAGTGCCTATTTTACATGTTATATAACAGTTTGCATACATTTCTTGGTATACACTGCAACGTACATTTCACGACTGTCATTTTACGCTCCGTACTCTTTCATAAACTTTAAATTGGCCACATGAAATATGCTATTAAAATATTTTGTTTACTTCCACATCAGAAATAAGTGTTTTTGGATTTTCCATTTTAAGAGTTATGCCAGTAAAGGTGGTATATGAATTTCATTTATATTTTCAATAATTTAATATTAACCATTCATGGAAAACATTCCACTATTTACAGAATGTATCTTTTTCACTAAAGCCAATGAAATAAAGTTTAATACGAACACAGTACTGTATGAAAATGTGCACAAAAGTACACCAGCGTTCCACTCAGGAAATGAAGCAAGGAGAAAGAGTTAAGTGGAAGAACAGACATCTAGCAGACGTTGTCTCAGCAATTTGCAGGTGTCTTCAGAGAGATCAGTTCCACTTTCAAGGATCTGTTGGCACAAACATTACATAAACGTAGTACGCAATTTTATGATCTACTACAATGAAGTAAACATATTTTCAAAATTAGTTTAACATTAATTTACTCTAAATATAAATGTACCGTTGCAAAGCTAATCCAATTACATATATCACACTGCACTGTAAATTATTTTCATTTTTATTTCAGTAAATATTTGTACATACCAAAATATTAAAATAGAAGTTTATAAATCTTAATGATATTTACATTAATTCACCGTTAATGATCACATACAACTTCATTACATTAACATTAAATTTTACCTATTGTTTTATGTGCTTTAGCCATCACAGACCATCTTCAGGGGCTTCAAACTCAGCTATGGAGTTCACATAAATTACTTACGTGAACATTAAATGTTTATGTAAAATTTACAGTGAAATTGTTTACTGATACAACGATATGAACCGTAAAATCAATTTAAGGAGATCTGTATTCTGCGTTATGTAAAAAATTTTATGCAGTTTTTGAGAAAACTTTCCCACATATCATGATATTCAAGACAAACAAAAGTGATTATGTCATCTCGAACTGAAAAGTGTTGGACTGATTTTGATCAAATATTGTATTAGAGACTATACACAGAGACAGTAAATTTCTTAACGTTTTTCACAACGTACACACCCCGTTTAAGATTTGTTGGATCAGCTGCTTGGTACTGGAATTCACAGTGCTGAAATCACTACAGTTTAAGAACATGGTAGCCAGCGTAGTAAGAGTCTCAGAAAGCAAACTCGGACACAGCGCTCTTTCCTTCTTGCAGACCAAACGAAACATTTTAAACCTGAAAAAGGTACATCGAGTACAAGCAGTTAGCATATAGTATAATTCTGATTATTTATACCTCACATACAAAACTTAGTTTCTACAAAAGCAGGCATAAATTTAAAGAAGACAAAAAGTGGTGAAAATTTACTCAGACATTTGAATACATGATATATTCATTATTCACAAAACACAAATTATGCGTAATTGTTTTTGGTGCCTTATGAAATCTGAAAATGCTCATTATATGAGATAAAACAAATTGTTTACGAGACTCTTCTTTTGAATGTTTAAGATTATCTGCCGAAGTTTTTTTCCAAGTGTCAAAGAAAATTGTCGAACGACAACCATGAAGTGAACTTATATGTTATGGGCCAATCAAATCCTGGATCCTTAGTCTCATGTTCAACAAACAGTTATTTACTCACTTACGTTACTTCCTTTGTTGAAATGCCATGTGTGAGACACACGGAACAAGCGTTTGTATATTTCTTACTCATGAGCAAAATGGTTCTACGAGAAAAGTGAGGAAAAAATTCGAAAGTATTTGATCCAAATATATTCCTCAACATTTTTTCTCTCCCATCATTGAGTGAGAAACAGTTCCACGTTCATAAAAAGCACAGGTAAAATTACAGTTTATATTTACAAAATTAACCCAAAATACTTATATTTTGTCCCGCGTCGTAGCCGCGCGGTCTGAGGCATCATGCTTCAGACCGGTGATACGGAATGCACGCTGGTTCGAGTCTCGGGAAAAGAAATTTCTCATGAGATTTTCGACCAGTGTATGGGTCCAGTGCCAACCCAGCATCGTGAGGAAATTGGGGAGCTACAATGAGTAGCGTAATCCGGTCAGGAAAACTAGCAATGGCTGGGGGTTCGTCGTGCTAACCACACGTCATCCTATATCTGGTTGGATGATCGTTCACCTCTGCTTATGCATGTGAACGCGAGGCCAGCAGCCAGCTAGTCGGCTTTGGCTCTCAGAGGCCTGTTACACCAAGGATTATTTATATTTTATAAAAGAATTTAGTATTTAATATTGTTAATCTGTTTATTATAGTTACAAAATGCTAGTTCATTCCTAGATTAAACACTAAGGAGGCATATCCTGGTTAGTTACTTATCCCTACCATCAATCACTATAAACAGAAATGACAGCAAAAATTGATACTTCTTCCTTTAACTTTATTACCATCTCACGAACTAACCTAGAAGCAGTCTGATAAGATTTGAAGCACTGTAGCCACTGAGAGATGAAGTACAGGAAGTCATGACAACCTGAAATGGAAGCTGTGCGTGTCATGGAACAAATCAAGAAACAGGTCCAAGGCTGTGTAGCTAGATGCGTATGTATATTGGGCTCTGCAAACTTCGTGGAGGAAAAATGAAGTAACGCACCAAGGCACTTCCAGGAACTATTGGAGATACCTGGAAAATTCTAGCAGCAATGACAACAGATTTAAAATTAAAAATGCATAAATCTGTTTCACAGTAACACACAATCTATCACAAGTAACAGATTTTAATACTGACTAACATTCATGGTCCAAATATAACATAAGCCAATATGGCAAACCATTATATGCAATACTGATATCCCATAAAAGACGAAGTGTTTCAACTTATTTTATGGTAGTTGCTCATAAAAGGTTTTCCTGCAAACAACAATTTATTTTCTGGATACATTACCGTAGAGCATTTTGTCTTGTTCAACTGTATGTCTAGTAATAAGAAATGACTGTTGAAGATTGCTGTCTTCTGGGTTGTTGCGCCATGTAGTCTGGTAGATGTTTTTGGACATCTACCAGACTACATGGTACAACAACCCAGAAGACAGCAATTTTCAGAATTGCTGCAGTGAAAACCTCAAATCCTACAATAAATGACTGTTAACCCATCGACGTGGTTTTACGTGTACACACGCGGGCATTTAAATTAAAGTTCTTGTGGATTTACGTATAAACACGCGAGCCTCAAAGCCTAATTTAAAACGCCCATAAGTATGGAATAAATAACGCCAGCGCGATGAGGTTTGTTCTCGCCTGTTGTGGAAATAAAGCTCTATGTGTATACATGTGGCAACAGTGGTACATTCCAATGACCTGAAAGGGAGAGTCTAAAAATAAACGCCTGACCTGGTAGTTTACAATGGCTTTCTCTTCGACAAGTCGACCCTTGACGGAGCTTGAAGAAATACAAGTTTTAAATGAAGTTTTAGAAGATGATAGTATAAGTGAATATAGTTCGGACGATGATAGTGTATTTGACATTGATTATACACAGTTTGTGACACCGGGAACTGTCGTGTTTAGCGATAGTGATTGTGATAATGGTAGACGTGGTCGACAGGACATCGTACATGCAGGTGTGGTTTCCAACAAGTTTTTGTGGGAAAATATAGACTCATTTCCTGCTTCACGAGAAGCATTTTGTAATGTATGTGGTCCCCAGTTCGACACTGCTGAACTAGATGTCGTGAGTTCATTCGAAAATATTTTCGATATAGCACTTGTGCAGCACATTGCTGATCAAACCAACAGATATGCTCAACAAGAAATATCAAAAAGTGCCCATCCTCTCACATTTCGCTCTAGGATTAGGAACTGGCAAGATGTCACAGTAGACGAAATTTACGTGGTTTTGGCTCTATTTATGTTGATGGGCATTGTGCAAAAGCCTACACGTAGATCTTACTATTCAAAGAACCGGCTGGTGTACACTCCGTTTTTTTCTGAAACTAAACTTCTAATCGACTTGCTTCCACTGCTCACACATCTCATCTTATAAGGTAAGATTATAAAACCATCTTTTAAGAGGATTTCGGTGAAAAATTCATAATTATATCTCATATAGTTCAAAAGTTATGAAAAAAAGAGTATTTTACAGCAAAATTTAAACGGGCATTTAAAAAATACTACCGCAGGAACAGCACGACAGCGGTATATGCGGGGTATTTAAACCACCACGTCGACGGGTTAATATAATTGCACAAAAGTTGGGTCATTATATGACACAGAAGTCACTGAAAGAATTTATTAAGTTTATATTGTTAAAAATTAATGAAACAAATTTAAAAAAAATTCAATGTAAAATGCAACTAATAAATACATACTGACATGATGAATCTAACAAACAAGTTGGTTTTATATTAAGCATTTAAAAATATAAATTCTAAGGTTTTATTACCATGATCTTAAAAAGAAATTGTACCGACATATCTATGGTCCCATATGACCATAAGAATTTCTTTAGATCTCAGACAACGAAATACTGGCTAAACTTTTTCTTCTTGGACCAAGAAGATATTTGCATAAGAATGATTCTAGTTCATCTTAGGTCTACTTATATATTGTTTTGCTGTAGCAAATACAAAAACTACATGCATGTACCTTGTATATTAACAAATACTAATACCTTAATGCTCATGGCCTGAAGTTTTATAAACAGTGCCTGAAGAAATTCTGGTGAAATAATATCCTGTCCCTTTTCTGACAATCTGATTGCTGGATGTACAAGTTTTGATTGAAGGAGGTTAAAAGTCAACTGCAGACCTGCTGACAGTACATCAAAATCTGGATTCATCAATAACTGGAGCAGTTGTTCGATATCGATCCTCACAACATGGTCACACTGCAACAGCACAAGAAGTATAATTTCATTATCAGCTAAGCAGATACATGTAAAATTCCCAACTTTAAGAATATGAACTTTACCATAAATGTGACATACAGCTTCTATTTTTTAAGTAAAGTTTATTGCCATTTGACAGTATGGTTAATGTTTTAACAGCTATTAACTCAAAAACACTGATGAAAACAGACTCCAACAGTGATAAATGTCCTCATCACACACTTCCAAGAGAAAAGCTGGTATCAATTATACCATTTTACTAACAAACTAAAATTAACCAATTTTAATCATGAGAAAATGAGACAGAGTAAAAATCAGAAGTCTCATGAATAAATCTGAAATGTTCGCCAGTATGTATACACAGCCATCAGACCATCATTTACCTGGAAGTACTGAGGAAATCCACAAAAATCTCAGTCAAGGTAGACTTTCTAGACCAACCTGAGACCCATTAAAAATTAGCAATCTAGAATAGCACAGTGTGTGAGGTGTAATGGGTTCAATTTCTCAAAACCTCTCTTATTTTAATGCCAACTTCACCTTCATGTGCTGAAGCTGCATTTAAAAATAGAGAAAATGCCACAACCAAAATTTAGATCACATTAATTTCTGTTATGTTAATTTTGAGATTGCATTATAATTGGTAGACAGTAACAGCCAGTAATGTTAGTTGTTTAATTATTTATTTATGGTTTATATAATGATGCCGACAGTAGCAAAGGCTATATATTGTCAAATGACGGGATAATGAATTGGAAAGGATACAGAAGAAAACAGTCATGATTTAACTTCTGGTACTATTCCAGCATTTTTATGGAGGGAGGATAGCTGGCATCTGGGCTGAGATTTAAATCTGAGACCTCCAGAATATGAAACAGAAGTTCTAACCATTAGACTACATCATATAGTCTCTAGTGATGTTGAGTTGACCTTAAACCAAGGTTTTATTTTTCTCAGTGTACATATCTATTCATCAAACACTAACTAAAGCTATTAATGATTCATACCTGAATTAATAAATATATATGAATTCTGAAAATACTTACCCCAATATGTTGGAAAATCATCTGGTAATGAAGCAGATGAGAAAGAAAATTAACTGCGGTAGAACATATCACTGAATGCTTAGACTCCATAGCGGTATGCAACACTTTTAAAAATTTTGGTTCATTTATGTAGATAGCTAGTGCTGAAAAAAATAAATTTCACTTTAAATTGCAGGAACACATCTGTGCACCATATCACGTTCTTAAAATCCACAGCACTCCAAAAGGCTTCACTGTATTTCGGTGTTCAACATCTGATGAAAAATCAAGTATATATCATCACGTCAGTATGCGATTCCAGATGCACTTCCCATGACAAATTTTATTAAATGCAATACTGGGAATTCTTAAACATTTTAAATAAATATCACAGTCTGTGAGGTACCAATAAGAACTTTTAACATATTTAAAGAACATAGTTCATTGAAAATCTCCATCTGGAACAGCAGTAATAAAACTGACACTGTATACTAGTATACTGGCCAAAGACATCTGCTACTTCACACGATGGCATAAAAGAATATTTAGAATAGTACAATTCTCAAAATTGAATTTCAGGAAATATAAATTAAATGTTTGCAAAAATGCATGACTTCCATCAGTAATGAATTTCTTCTCTGAAAATGCAGTAGCTTTCAGGCAAATGTTGGATGATTTTGTTTGTGGAAGTCATTAACCTTTATCATATGGGAACAAAATTTAAACCCCTATTTCAGGGTTTTTGGTCAGACTTCAACTTCTGGGTTTGATGGTTTAGAACAGTGTTCCACGACCAGTGCGCTGCCACGAGGTTTCAGGTGTGCCACACATTTTTATAAGAAATTCACATGTTATAGTTAGAAAAAGACAATACCTTATCTTTCATAATTATAATTCATAATGTGCACACACACAAACACACTGGTTCATCACTGATAGTTTTATTCAACATGTGTTATGTTTAATTTTCATGTGCCTTCACTTTTACAGGGCAAAGATTTATATGTAAATACATATTTACTGCCACGTAGAATTTTGCATCCCCTTTTTGTGAGGTAAAATTTGGTGGTGTGCTGTCATGTCTTTGACAAATTTTATATATATTTATATAAAAATAATTATGCTACTCACATACAATCAAATAGATAAGTGGACAAAAAAGTGGCAAATTTAATAAATTGTTTTACACCTGGTAAAGAATATTTAAAGTATAAGGCATTCAATACTAATTTTGATTTACACATTACTTGTGAACTGTGGTCTTGTGTCTTCAGCCCACACAGCACCAAATCCAGAAGACCACAGCCCACATGTTCACTGCCATAACAACTTCAAACCTCATAACGCATTACTTACTTCTTTTATCCTGCAATTCCATTGATATAAGAAGCAAGAGGAATGCATGAGAAATTGCTGCTTTATAGAAAGCTAATGGTGTATCTGCATTTTCAACTTCCTGGTTCGCTAACACTCGTGTTAAAAGGCAGGCTGCACGGACAACTGTTGAGGCACTCAGATTATGAGGAACGGCCATGCATGCTACTTGCATCAAACCACCAATCTTTGCAGCTAACAAGAAATAAAGGAAATATTGTTATCTTTACACAGTGACTGAATATTTCTCAGGATAAAGTAGAGATGACCACAACACATTTAATGAAATGCACAGACATTAGCATGGAGGTCTATAAAATAAACATTAAGGCCATCAGCCTATTACAGGTGTTACTTTCTTGTAATTTTGGAATTATTAAAGTGTTATTTACGCAGATTGGTAGAGGAAGATTTACTCTTTCATTTGGTTTAATATCAGTATTTTCCAAACTGACTGTGGAACCCATCTGGTCACAAAAACAACTGATGGAGCCCTTCACCACGGAGTGTAGTCCAATCAGACATGTAACACAGGTGCATTCTTTTCACAAGTGGAGTGACTTTTAGCTTCCATGGAGTTAGTATCAGTTCTCAATTTAAATATGATGAGCCACCCCAAATATCCAAATTTTAATTAATTTTAAGCTTCAAGTGCATGAGCAACAGCTATTTGAACACCACTCTTTTATGCTTCAATTAAATAAGGATATAAATGTTGATGAACTTTGAATTTATGTGTAAAAAAGAGAGAAACAAAAATTATATCTTAAGATCAAGCTTGGAATTAGTAAAAGTAAGCAACTATTATTTTCTCCACCTATGCGATGGCTCCTGGAATAGTCATCTCTTTTAAAGCAGCCCTTAATTGAGACTGGCATGTGTGTCCTACAGTGCAATACAGGACTCCTAAGTATAATATAAAACATTAGCCATTATCAGCCGACCAAAAATTGTATGTTATCCCAAGATCACAGAACATCTAAACAGGGTAACTATAAATCCATTACTATATAGCCAGAATGTAAGATGATAAAAAAGTTCAGGATATAAAGAGATAATACATTTAATAAAATCATTAATATCTACTAACAACTTTCTACTCAATTCATTTAGTAACCATTTTTGAACCTATGCTTGAAAGATGTGCTCCAACTCAAAGGATGGTTACTTGGAAAGCATCTTAAGAGGACTGTACTGTAAATATATTATTGGAATACACTAAATAATAGTA